AGATTTAGTGACACTATTTAAAATGGATGTTGTAGTTTACAACAAGCACATGACCGACTGCACTACTCCATAGTTAGGAGAGCTCTACTAACATATCGATTCTGCTAATCCAGTTTCGTTCTTTGCCCGCCTTTACTCTCAAAACAACACGGTTTAAAAAAAAAATGATTCCGATCAGCTGGACCTTGCGTTGCCTAGCAACAGATGACGATTTCTGCTGTTAGGACCGGCAACTTAATTTAGTGGGACTCACAAGTTGTTGTTTAAGTTAGATGCTTAAAAAGATAAGCAGAATATAGTATTTTAAAGATACGTCTAAAATATATGGGGACAGACACTAGCAGACACTAAATATCAATCTTCTTTTAATTTCACTGACATGAATTTAATTTAGTTGTAGCCTCAAATTAGTGAAAGTAGGCAATGGCATGTATATCCCTGTATATTTTTAAACTTCTTTGGGAGGGTAGACTTCTAATGAGTATATTGTTACACAGTGTCTCCCAATAAGCTAAAGTGTCTCATTTTCTAAAACTAACACCGTGTTTAAGTTCAAATTAAACAAAAATTTAAAAATTAAAAATACGGTTGACATTTTTTTTTCAAATCTTGTTATAACTCTTAATATGTTTCATGATATATTTGGGAAAGAGTTGACATTTGACATCGTCAGTTTTCAGATGTCCAAAACCTAAAATGTTTCAGGAAGCCCGCAAAAAATCACACGACGGCTTTGCAAATACTTGTAGTTTATTGTATAAGCCGTGCAATATGGTTCATATTTGATAATCCCATGTTTTACTATTATTATTATTCAAATTTAAATATTTAATTTCGCTTGAACGGCGGCGCACTAGATTTATTTCTGTAAAGAATTCGGCACTTAAATTAACTTCAATTTTTTTTTTTTAACTCAGTTTATAGGCCTACACTAAAAAAAAAAAATGAGTAGGACTATTCTATTTATATATGCCTGTAAATTGTGTATGTGTTGATCTATGTCATATACCATATCTCCGGACATCTGCCAAGAATCGGCAAAGGGTCGAGCATCGCTGCTTTCCTTTGTACACAAAGGCATCATACATCAAGAAGCCGAAATGTAGAGCGGCTACAGAGCACAACAGACATGCCAGAAAATCCCAGGTTAACTCAGCACCTGAACATGTCCCATCAATCCCCTGCACCTACAGCACAAGAACACTTCGTGCCAGATTGGGTCTCATCAGCCACCTGCGCCCCCACGGCCAAGCTCGGAACGGTCTCATCAGCCACCTGCGCACCCACGGCCAAGCTCGGAACGGTCTCATCAGCCACCTGCGCACCCACGGCGAAGCTCGGAACGGTCTCATCAGCCACCTGCGCACCCACTGCCAAGTTCGGAAGGTCTCACCAGCAAACCTGCGCACCCACGGCGAAGCTCGGAACGGTCTCATCAGCCACCTGCGCACCCACAGCCAAGTTTGGAACGGTCTCACCAGCCACCTGCGCACCCACAGCCAAGCTCGGAACTAGCACTAATACGATGATTATAATGGCCATGGTTGACCTTGACTTACGAACTACATATATACACATCGGAGATACGGGATGGAAGTTCAGGCTTTTGCCCTGAGCACAAGTTTTCCATGACGCGGCCCTGATAGAAAGTTCCAGCAGATTCCGTCTAATCAAATAGATGGCGGAGAATTATTTACCGCTTTAAATCTTACTATTATTTAACGGTCGACCTACTTACAAGTTAACATTTATTTAAACCCTTGTTTAGTTTGTTTAAAAACATGTTAGATTTTTTTTTTTTTACAATGCACGTCAAATTTTTTAACATGGAGCAAATTCACGAATTCGCGCTTTTATTAATTTGGCTCCTTTCTATGTCATATTTTTCAAATTCTATTCACGAAATCTTTTTTCCAAAGCTTTATTATAAATAATCGATATAAAATAATCATATCTTAACATAATTTCCAGTTCTTTGTTTCGTAACATTTCAATACCAATTATTTAAGATAGTTCACCACGGGCCCTTAAAAAAATAAAGGTCTAATTGAACTAATTGTAATCTCTCATTGACTGTATGATATGTAATAAGTGTATATCTCTTTAATTAATGTTTGACTTTAACTTTGTGTAATTTATGTTTTGCTGTGTGTAATTGTAATGTTAAATCTGTAATTGTTTTATCTGTGCTGTGAGCGTTTCGACTGATTTGTGGCGTGACAATTGACATAAATGATATCGGCAGGAATCTTAAAGATCATTTTGTATGCCTGTCAGTCATGAGATCTGAAGGCGGTACAAGGTACATGGGGGAGTCATGAGATCTGAAGGCGGTACAAGGTACATGGGGGAGTCATGAGGTCTAGGGGTGGTACAAGGTACATGGGGGAGTCATGAGGTCTAGGGGTGGTACAAGGTACATGGGGGAGTCATGAGATCTGAAGGCGGTACAAGGTACATGGGGGAGTCATGAGGTCTAGGGGTGGTACAAGGTACATGGGGGAGTCATGAGGTCTGGGGGTGGTACAAGGTACATGGGGGAGTCATGAGGTCTAGGGGTGGTACAAGGTACATGGGGGAGTCATGAGGTCTGGAGGCGGTACAAGGTACATGGGGGAGTCATGAGGTCTAGGGGTGGTACAAGGTACATGGGGGAGTCATGAGGTCTGGGGGTGGTACAAGGTACATGGGGGAGTCATGAGATCTGAAGGCGGTACAAGGTACATGGGGGAGTCATGAGGTCTAGGGGTGGTACAAGGTACATGGGGGAGTCATGAGGTCTGGGGGTGGTACAAGGTACATGGGGGAGTCATGAGATCTGAAGGCGGTACAAGGTACATGGGGGAGTCATGAGGTCTAGGGGTGGTACAAGGTACATGGGGGAGTCATGAGGTCTGGGGGTGGTACAAGGTACATGGGGGAGTCATGAGATCTGAAGGCGGTACAAGGTACATGGGGGAGTCATGAGGTCTAGGGGTGGTACAAGGTACATGGGGGAGTCATGAGGTCTGGGGGTGGTACAAGGTGCATGGAGGAGTCATGAGGTCTGGGGGTGGTACAAGGTGCATGGAGGAGTCATGAGATCTAAAGGCGGTACAAGGTACATGGGGGAGTCATGAGATCTGAAGGCGGTACAAGGTACATGGGGGAGTCATGAGGTCTAGGGGTGGTACAAGTTACATGGGGGAGTCATGAGATCTTGAGATCTGAAGGTGGTACAAGGTACATGGGGGAGTCTTGAGGTCTAGAGGTGGTACAAGGTACATGGGGGAGTCATGAGGTCTAGAGGTGGTACAAGGTACATGGGGGAGTCATGAGGTCTAGAGGTGGTACAAGGTGCATGGTGGAGTCATGAGGTCTAGGGGTGGTACAAGGTGCATGGAGGAGTCATGAGGTCTGGGGGTGGTACAAGGTGCATGGGGTAGTCATGAGGTCTAGAGGTGGTACAAGGTGCATGGTGGAGTCATGAGGTTTAGAGGTGGGACAAGGTGCATGGTGGAGTCATGAGGTCTAGGGGTGGGACACGGTGCATGGTGGAGTCATGAGGTTTAGAGGTGGGACAAGGTGCATGGTGGAGTCATGAGGGCAAGGAGTGGGACACGGTGCATGGTGGAGTCATGAGGTCTAGAGGTGGTACAATGTGCATGGAGGAGTCATGAGGTCTGGATGTGGTACAAGGTGCATGGGGAGGGGGGGGGAGTCAACATCCCCTCCATCCCCTGCTCCCACCATTGCATGTTGTTACATAAAGAAATTAACTCTAACACATCATGTCCTATGTACAGTTTATTTCTTAAAGATAACACTTTTGTTTTATGAAACTAGTAGATGTAATCAAAGAAAGAGACACAATAAGAGGTACTTTAAGAAAAATATTTCAGTATTCGCTCTAGCGAAACAGGTTTTGTACAAATCAAATCATAAGTTATGTTTTTTTTTCTTTCTGACATGTAAGTTTCATACAAATTTAATTGTAAATCCACAATAGAGCATAGTAGCACATTACAATTACAGTTCCCAATCTTCTTTTTTAATCTAACCAAAAAAAATCTATGTACACAAAAAAACAACACCATTTATTTAAACTCCTTTCTTGAGAGAAGTAGTGTTCAAAACCATAATGGAGTTACATCAGATGTGGTTTCAGGGGGGAAAAAATGGCATATGCCTAAAAAAAATATGCCAGGAACTGAATTATAACATAGGAATGCACAATGGCACAGTGGCACACCATGACACAATATGACACAGTGGCACACCATGACACAATATGACACAGTGGCACACCATGACACAATATGACACAGTGGCACACCATGACACAGTGGCACACCATGACACAATATGACACAGTGGCACACCATGACACAATATGACACAGTGGCACACCATGACACAATATGACACAGTGGCACACCATGACACAATATGATACAGACGCACACCATGACACAATGACACAGTGGCACACCAAGATACAGTGGCACAATATGACACAGTGACACACCATGATTCAGTGTCACACCATGATACAGTGGCACAATANACACAGTGGCACAACATGACACAGTGGCACACAATGACACAATATGACACAGTCGCACACCATGACACAATATGACACAGTGGCACACCATGACACAATATGACACAGTGGCACACCATGACACAATATGATACAGTGGCACACCATGACACAATGACACAGTGGCACACCATGATACAGTGGCACAATATGACACAGTGACACACCATGATTCAGTGTCACACCATGATACAGTGGCACAATATGACACAGTGACACACCATGATTCAGTGTCACACCATGACACACCAATGACACACGACACAGTGGCACACAATGACACGGTGGCACACAATGACACGGTGGCACACAATGACACGGTGGCACATCATGACACAGTGGCACACCGTGACACAGTGGCACACCATGACACAGTGGCACACCATGACACAGTGGCACACCATGACGCAGTGTCACACCATGATGCAGTGGCACAATATGACAGTGGCACACCATGACGCAGTGTCACAGCATGATGCAGTGGCACACCATGATGCAGTCTCACACCATGAAGCAGTGTCACACCATGACACAGTCGCACAATATGACACAGTGTCACACCATGATGTAGTGTCACACCATGACACAGTGTAACCATGACGCAGTGGCACAATATGACAAGGGCACACCATGATGCAGTGTCACAGCATGATGCAGTGGCACACCATGACACAGTGGCACACCATGACACAAGAACACACCATGAGGAGACATAAGGGACTCAACTCCTGAGCTGCACTTAGAGGAAAAGCTAGATGAATGATGCTATGACTGATACTCTATTTACAATTATTTCCCTTTTTTGTTCTCCTGATGAAAGTAAAAAAAAAATAAATACAACACAAATGAAACTTTGAAAAGCAGAATTTGAGAAAACTGCAGAAGCTCTAAACATGTTTAATATTTAGCAAGGATTGTGTCTTAATTGAAGTATTTAAACAAAATTAGTAATAAGCCCTTAAATAAAAGGGAAAAAAAATATGCAGCACTTTTTACTTTAATCGATTAAATACACGCTTTCTCCAGGTCATTCCGGTAGGTTACGACTTACATCTACAATCTTTGAGGGTATCAAGCCACAGGACTTCAGGGGTAGCGAGATCTTGTGATCTCACCATTTCCTGATGTCTCACTCCGAACCGATGATAACGCAAGAACATTGGAGCCAGTGCACATCCAAAGAGTTACAGCAGCACATTAGATTTAAAAGAATTATGGTTTCAATTTTTCTTCAACTCATACAACCCTTTCATATGAATAAAATTACAACTACCCCGGTACTTAGCTAAAAAAATTATTGATGCAAAAATCCAGCTTGTCACAGGATATTGCAAAAAATGTGCACTTACTTTTGTAAGTGAAATTGTATGCTTAGCCGAAATCCATAGATTTTACTTCATGTAATTGCTCATGTGCTCAAAGTTTGCGTGTCATGGTTGAACTCTCTAAACATGAAGATTTTTCAGGTTTTCATAAATTTACAGTAGACATCAAAAGCCTAATTACTTTTCATGACAATGTTACTCGGCAACAAACCTTTTAATTATTTTGGTTAGGTCATGTAATGGAAAACTTAATTCCCAAAAATTCAGTCCTATAAAATATTATCAGTCCCCCACTTTGCCCGTAGATCGTTTTTGAAAAAAAAAAAAAAAAAGATTGAATTGCCTGTTTAGAGAGTTACTACGATGATGTGACGTAATAATAGCCCCACACACAACATAAAAAGAAAAGAAAATTTTGGTTAGTTCATGTAATGGAAAACTTAATTCCCAAAAATTCAGTCCTATAAAATATTATCAGCCCCCCACTTTGCCCGTAGATCGTTTTTGAAAAAAAAAAAAAAAAGATTGAATTGCCTGTTTAGAGAGTTACTACGATGATGTGACGTAATAATAGCCCCACACACAACATAAAAAGAAAAGAAATAGAAAAGCCAACATTGCTTCTAGCCATAAAGATTGAATACAATGCTGTCTGACACATACACACACAAGCTGAGGCATGCACTGAAAACAAGGACACAAGCAAATAAAACCAGGGCAGTAGAAGAAGTTCCTTTATTATCAGAATAATAACGGCAATTTCAATCAAATGCGGTTCACATTGAGACATGTCACGTGAAGTATTGGGTGATCAATTCTATTCTTTAATTGATTCTTTGAAAAAAATTAAATTGGTATTGATTGTATCACATAAAAATATATACGGCTGATTCTTTCAAGTTATTATGTCAACCAGGGCTTTTAGCACAGGAGTGCTATGTCATTGGTTTTTGAACAAAAAAAATTTCATGATTAATTTGCAATGCACTAGTTTCTAAAATCTGATGTGTGTAGTTGTGACACCAGTTAGCAAAGTTTAAAAAAAGGTCTGTGTTGTGGACAAACCATGTTCAGTTTTGATTGGCTGATGATGGGATTTAGGTTGTGGTACGTCTCACGTTGAGAGCCCATGACAAACACTTCCCTACAGACTGTGACAAGCTGACCCACACATCAATGTTGACTCTCACACACACACACAGAATCTCTTACTATCACAGACACACTCTCAGTGTCAGAACAATAAAAAATGAAAATTCACAATGGAACAATATGAAGATATTGGGTCTAGTCAGCCATTGCATCAATGACTTTTAAAAAAAAAAATTCTTAGCTGTTGGCTTTCCTTTGTTAAAATAATATGATGTACCAATCAGCCTGTATTCAGAGTGAATTTAACATTAAGGCTCCCTAAGTCTTCATTAGACACGGAATAGACCAACCGACTGACACAGAAATGGAATTTGTGTTTGGTATTTTTATTTTGCAAATCGATAAATATATTTTTAAAAATATTGTATGTGTTAAATGTCTTTCTTGGCTCTAGGTTCCAACAAAGGACTGTACCCTTGCCCCAAACAATTTTTTTTTTTGGTTGTAAATTGAGTTCGAGTAAAAATTATCAGTACATTCTAATAATAAATGTTTTTTTGTTTTTTTTTAAAGATTTTCTTTTAAGTTCTGTGTTCCACAATTTGAGATGACTTTATTTTGGTTAAATTATTTTATTTTTGTAAAAATATGTTTGTTTAATGTGTGCAATAATGTTACAAAATCTAACACACCATCATCAAAGAGTTCCCTAAACATAGCAAGCATCCTCACTCCAGCGACATATTCACTGGATCTATATATTCCTCATGGGCTTGTAATTAATGTATGCGTATATTACAACAGCAGATATGCTTGAATGTTACGTCAAATCTACTTTTAACATTGAAAATCATCACAAATTAACAGATATAATATAAAACAGAAAGAATGGTGCAGCTTCAGAAAATAAAGCTGTCAGCTAAAAGCTGTTACCAGATGCAAAAAATTATTTAGATGAAAAATAAAAACAAATTGGAAGTGAAAAATTTTTTTTCTTTTAAATATGAGATATAAAAAAAAAGCTACACCATTCTTTGGCTTTATATAGGTTAGAAATAATTTAAGTTAATTTCTTTTAAATGAGCTGTTCACCATCCATGAACGTCACCATAATGTTTTTCAAGTTTATTCTAATTCTACCCTCTCAAACTTTATTTCATCATCTAAATGACAGACAATGAATAAATAGAAACGAACTTGAGAACTCTGTGAACCTTATAATAGTATCATCCTTTTGGGTTACTGTATTTAATAGACATGATCTGAATAAGGCTTTGAAACTAAATTGAATTATATTTTGTCCTCTACATTTTAAATTATGATGGCTAGCTACAATGCCTCCCACTTTTTACCCCTTTACTTAGAGGCCGACACCCAAGCAAAGGAATCCATTTTCTATTGACGTAGGTTATCCCCCCTTTTTCAGCCCCATGATGGCAATTTTAGTTAATAAATTACAACACAATTGTTTGTTTAAAAAAAACAAAAACACCAACATTTTTAAAAAATGTGTAGGACAACAGGAACAAGATGCTTGCTTATGTCGAATCATCGTGGTCAAGGGCTGTGCTCACACTCATCAGCCTTCCATGCCGAAATCATCTGAGAACTTTTGTAGTCTCTTCAGATCCTCACTATTTACCGTTGGCTTGGAGTTGTTGATGGCCATTAACATGTCAACCTGGAAGGATATGGAAACTTTGAGTTCAACACACACTGTCCGCGGAAGCGGAACATCCCCGAGGAGACTTGGGGGCATCCACATGGGGTTTTGCCTCTTCGTGGCGTGGCAGACTAGTAGGGAGGTATCCTCCCGAAGCTAAAAAACCCCGGCCCCTGTATGACTCCCAATGTAACGGGAGGAAGGCAATAACATGATTACTTGTTGCTGTTAATGGATATGAGGTCTGGGTGGCGGTCAAAACCCTCGCCGATGATTTTAAATAAGTGGCCCCCGAGAAAGCCGCTCCTGGGCGACCGTTTCGACCCCACTTACGTCCCCACTGGACAACTACCTGGACGGTGCGGGGACGTAACGCAGCACCTTTCCTCCGGAGAGGAAGCAAAGTCGTTCAGTCCCAAGGAGAGTGGACCGCGAACGCTTTCAATGCAGCGTTTTCAGTCGACCGGACGTCCCCCAGGCCAGTGAAGAGGTTCCCGGCGTGCTTCCGCACGGTCTGGCGGTGGCGTCGGCCCGTGTGGGGGTGTTCAGGGGGGGATATTGAGAGCTCACGCTCCACAACCCACCGATGCCATCTCAAATGAACCATTTTCAGTTCAATGCACAGCGATAGATAAGTACAAACTTTTAATGTTAAATTATGAATGAACTCAAATTGCAATGCTAAAACTTGTAATTAACACTTTAAGTAATTTAACAGGTGCTTCTTCTTCTTGTTTTTTCTGGGTTTTTTGTTCTTTAAAAAAGATATTTTTACATTTGTAATGTTTCACACACACTGTCACATGGGTAATTATGGCTACTTCTGTGATGTTTCGGCCGATATAACTGCTCTCTACTTTGATCAACTGAACTTTTTTTCCTTAAAGGGGGGGAGGGGCAATAGCTCTAAAAAATTAGATTTACTTCCCATTTATAGAGACCTAAGATAAATATTTCATGTGCTGAACTGAAATTGTCAAAGCCGAAATGTTTTTTTTTTGTTAAAACCAATTTGCAGGACTTAGATGTTGACCCTGCAAACATAAGCCTAATTTATTTGAATTATTTCTTTATGAAAAAGATTTTTGAAGAGTTGAGTTGTCTTTACTTAATGATAATGCCTGTGGAAAATGAGGCACCCCTTACTGAGCAGTGTTTATAGCAGTGTTCATATAAATGCTTTTCATTTGTGGTAAAATTGTTTTTTAAATGAATAAATAATGCAATCAATTTTTTTAATCAGTCCAAAAAGGGGTGGGTACACAGAAATGATGTCACAAAAAATGAAATATAAAAATTTCAAATGTGCGTTTATGCCAAAAATGAAAGTAATAGCTAGAATAAAGAAATAAGTTCAGTTTTCATACTGATACATCTGGCGGGCCATAATATTTAAAGAGGCATCCCATAATAGTTAACGTGGCAGCCCACAGTTTTCCCACACTTGTCAAAAATTTGTATTTCCCATGAACATATGGTAGTCTAATAACTACTGTAAGCTGTATGGGGAGAAGGGAAGAGGAGTGCAGGTGTATTACTATTGTGCAGCTGCTTTCAAAATCTAATGCTGCTGTGCGGAGCAGTGTTGAGAATGTATTTCAACAAAAAAAATCAGTAGTTTTCTTCATTTTTGCATTCACCGCCATTCACCCGAATGAAATAATAATGTTAAAAAATTATGTCATACAGCACTGAAGCAAACAAATGTGAACGTTGACTAAATTTATCACTAGGATGAATACGCTAAATATTACTGTATCTAGCGAGTTCCTTGTGAAAACATTAGGCATCAATAGAATGATCATTACAAAATGTGGTGGTGTTATTCTATAGCCTTTAAAAATATTTAGACACCTCACTCTACCCCTCCCATGTACATCTATATGCTTCAAGTCAAAACCACGCCCTCTCCCAAAGGACCCAACAGTCTGTGTGGTGTGGGTTGAAGAAAAATAAACAGTAGCACAATTGTACTCGCCGTTGAAAGGTCAAGGTCATATTCGTCCCCCTTAGCTCAAAGATTTCTAACATTCATACAATATGATTCCTTATCCAATTTACTCACAGAACATCTATACTTCTTGCCGGATTCATTTTCTATCAGTTTTGGGTATTTTATTGACACATATCAAAGTAACACCCAAAAAAAGACTTGCCACCACAGCACATGTGCAGACAGTTTGTTTCAACATAATTATTTCGACTCAAGATAAGAGTTGGTGAAAATGGATTGCCAACTTTGGTGAAAGCTTTATTTATTTAGACATAGTTGTATTGTCAGAGAAGCCCTACACATTTTGTTTATCACAGTGGGGATGAGTGTCACCGACGTTGTCAAAGTTGGACACAACTCTGTCATGACAAAACCTACACACTGCCAACCTATGATAAATTCGGCTCTATATATTTTATTTAAACTGGTAAAAACAACAACATACCTTTGAAACGATGGGCTCCAATAACTTATCACTAGCCACATCCATCCAACTCATCTCTATAGCCCCAGGGGCACCAGGTGAGCAAGGGGTCAAAAGGTCATCGACTATAACATTTGGATTATTTCTGCATGGCCCTCGGACCTGTTACAACAATCAAATTTCTTTTAGCAATTACAATTATATCTAATTTCTTTCTTAGCACCATCAAGCTCAACAAAATAAATACATAAGACAGCTACCCCTAATGTAAGGCTGCAAAAAACTATTCAAAGTGCCTTCCTACCCTTCTAAAATGTGTGGCTGTCTGAACTTTTCTCACAGGCATCATCAGAGCATCTCTCACGACAACACTGATATCAGCACCAGAATACCTGAAATGGAAATCAAACACTGCTCAAGGCTTAAAATCATTTGCTATCGTCAGTGGAGGGCAAAGGTCAACATGCAGGGCCCTGAGTTTTCAAAATTCTTTGGGTAAAGCAAGAGCCAATTTGCATTCTGTGTTCTTTAAACGATATTTGCCTCATATCCACCAACCTATGCAGCCCTTCCTGTTTTATAGTAATATTTTATTTCCCTCTTACATTATCTTATTTAAGTTTATTTCTTTCTAATATTTTACGTTTCCTGTTAATCTCTAAGTTTTGCTGTTGACGGCTTCTGGGCCAATTTTTGTATTGTCCTTCTGACAGGTTTTCCTTTAACCTGTGTATGTACTACATGTATTATTGTTATGAATATCTTCTTCTTCTTCCTGCAGGGACGGGGCTCTCTGGAGAGTTGAAGGTCCCATCTTTACAGTGAGGAATTAAATTATCAACGCATTCATGTAATGAATATCCTTTCAGGGATAAATAAAATGTATCCCTAAACATTTCTGTAACTGGAACAAGCTGTTACAAATTAAATAAAATGTATCCCTAAACATTTCTGTAACTGGAACAAGCTGTTACAAATTAAATAAAATGTACCCCTAAACATTTCTGTAACTGGAACAAGCTGTTACAAATTAAATAAAATGTACCCCTAAACATTTCTGTAACTGGAACAAGCTGTTACAAATTAAATAAAATGTACCCCTAAACATTTCTGTAACTGGAACAAGCTGTTACAAATTAAATAAAATGTACCCCTAAACATTTCTGTAACTGGAACAAGCTGTTACAAATTAAATAAAATGTACCCCTAAACATTTCTGTAACTGGAACAAGCTGTTACAAATTAAATAAAATGTACCCCTAAACATTTCTGTAACTGGAACAAGCTGTTACAAATTAAATAAAATGTACCCCTAAACATTTCTGTAACTGGAACAAGCTGTTACAAATTAAATAAAATGTACCCCTAAACATTTCTGTAACTGGAACAAGCTGTTACAAATTAAATAAAATGTACCCCTAAACATTTCTGTAACTGGAACAAGCTGTTACAAATTAAATAAAATGTACCCCTAAACATTTCTGTAACTGGAACAAGCTGTTACAAATTAAATAAAATGTACCCCTAAACATTTCTGTAACTGGAACAAGCTGTTACAAATTAAATAAAATGTACCCCTAAACATTTCTGTAACTGGAACAAGCTGTTACAAATTAAATAAAATGTACCCCTAAACATTTCTGTAACTGGAACAAGCTGTTACAAATTAAATAAAATGTACCCCTAAACATTTCTGTAACTGGAACAAGCTGTTACAAATTAAATAAAATGTACCCCTAAACATTTCTGTAACTGGAACAAGCTGTTACAAATTAAATAAAATGTACCCCTAAACATTTCTGTAACTGGAACAAGCTGTTACAAATTAAATAAAATGTACCCCTAAACATTTCTGTAACTGGAACAAGCTGTTACAAATTAAATAAAATGTATCCCTAAACATTTCTGTAACTGGAACAAGCTGTTACAAATTAAATAAAATGTACCCCTAAACATTTCTGTAACTGGAACAAGCTGTTACAAATTAAATAAAATGTATCCCTAAACATTTCTGTAACTGGAACAAGCTGTTACAAATTAAATAAAATGTATCCCTAAACATTTCTGTAACTGGAACAAGCTGTTACAAAGTAAATAAAATGTACCCCTAAACATTTCTGTAACTGGAACAAGCTGTTACAAATTAAATAAAATGTATCCCTAAACATTTCTGTAACTGGAACAAGCTGTTACAAATTAAATAAAATGTACCCCTAAACATTTCTGTAACTGGAACAAGCTGTTACAAATTAAATAAAATGTACCCCTAAACATTTCTGTAACTGGAACAAGCTGTTACAAATTAAATAAAATGTACCCCTAAACATTTCTGTAACTGGAACAAGCTGTTACAAATTAAATAAAATGTACCCCTAAACATTTCTGTAACTGGAACAAGCTGTTACAAATTAAATAAAATGTACCCCTAAACATTTCTGTAACTGGAACAAGCTGTTACAAAGTAAATAAAACATTAAAATACCCTACTTGTTAAATATGTATGTTCGTGGCCAAAGCTACTGTACTCACCGCTCCGTTCTCACCCCTAGTTCTTTGAAATCTTCATCAGTCAGGGAATGCGGTGTTGTGCCCAGGTTCAGTTTGAAAATATCTGATCTCGCCGGGGCTTCTGGCAGTGGGATATAGATCCTTTTTTCGAATCTGTCAGCAAAGTAAAACAATTATGACAAATACGATTGGCCTGATATTGCTTATTAAATCTTGATGAACAAAACATCATATGGCATCATAAGCATACAATTTGCTATCTTGTAATTGGATACACCGTAAACACTTTCAGTAAAACCATCATATAGGTATCAACCTTTAAATCTGTGTTCATACTCCTAGCTGCAGTGGGTCTCACCTTCTCCTGATGGCAGAGTCTAAACACCAGGGTATATTTGTAGCTCCGAGGACTAGGATACCATCATTGTCGTTGCCCACACCCTGCATCTGGACGAGGAATTCAGTCTTGATGCGCCTGGCGGACTCAGACTCATTCTCACTCCTGGACCCACACAGGGCATCGACCTCATCTATGAAGATAATTGAAGGTTTATGTTCTCTGGCCAACTGGAAAAGTGTCTTTACTAATCTGAAAAACAGATGAACGTGTACATTTACATTATGCTCACTGAGGAGACTTAAATTAATGAAATATAAAACAACTATTAAAGCTTAATCAGACCAGCCGCCAACCACTTTAAAAAAATAAGTTCTTCAGCAAGTCAAACGGTCACCACCTAAGGAAATGCCAACGATTCAAAATATTCCCTGAGATGTTTTTATAAAAGGAAATTAGAAACTCATTGGGACATTTTACTGGATTCTTTAGAGTTCACAAATCAATGCACACATTTTCTAAAGGCCTGTCCTTAAATTAGACAATTTTAATCTATATACCTATTTATTTATATAATTAATTCCAAATCATTGGTATGGTCATTCATGGTTGATTTAAGATACTCCTTCACAGGCACTTACTTTTCACTCTCACCCAGCCATTTAGACACAAGATCAGCAGAGGAGACTGTAAAAAACTTGGAGTTGTTAGCTTCTGTAGCAACAGCTTTAGCTAAGTAGGATTTTCCAGTTCCTGGTGGCTGAAAATGGACAAATTCATTTGTTCCCTAAAAAGCTAAACCTAAAGAAATACACAATTTTTAAAAGCAACCAACAAAAAATATTTTAATTCAAATAAGTGAAACCCCAACACTTTTGATCGCATAAAATAAAACTAATGAGAAAGCTGGAACTTATTTCCTAGAGCTTGTTTATCACAGTAAAATCATTATCATTTTCCCATTCTAGCTAAGAAAATATATTAGATGTTATAGATGTTATAGTAAACCTGATATAAAAGTAATTATTTAAAAAGCTTACCCCAAATAGAAGGATCCCTCGCCAAGGTTTTCGATTTCCTGAAACAAAGCAACAATTTATTTAACTTTAAAATAAGTTATTTAGCTGGTCAACTTAAACAAGGAATGAAACAAAACTTAACCTTTAGAGCATAAGAACATTTAAACAAGCTGTGCACCAAGCAAATATATAGATATAACCAAAAATGTAAACACATTTTCTTTACATTTGAGTGGACTTAAATGGTATACCCATATTGAAGTTGCCTAGGCCAAGGGTGGGCAGTTTAACATTTTTGATCAACTTTCTTTCTAATTTTCTATTTTTTTAAACAGTCCTTGACTTTTTTCATGTAATGCTAAAATGCGAATTTACCGATTTTAATATTAAAATCGAAGTGGCAATTCATACCCGGGTACTAGAAGTGAGATGTTGGGATTAAAAAATGAAAGATAATTGGATGGACTACCACAAATAACATCCGAATAGCTTGAGTCTAATGGTACCCGGGTGCGAATGGCGACGCAGCGTGTCTAGGTCTGTTTTGACTCAGCCCTATTTGGATGTCATTTGTGGTAGTTTATTTTAGTTAAACTGAAGAATTAGTTTACAAACCATAGTCCATTCAATTATCTTTCACTTGATACCTCATTTTGTCTTACAAACCCAACAATAAAATTTTAAATAGTTTTTAATCCCAACCTCTCACTTCTGGTACCTGGGTACGAATAGACGCAGCCAATAAAAATATGCATAAAAAGTTTGCCTACCCCTGGCCTAGGCTATTATAAGATAACAGGCCAAAAATTCTTTGCACAAATAATTAAGAACATGTAGGAAAAAAAACACCTTCATTTGCGTATTTGTCAAAGAATTTTTACGCTTACACACCAGTAAAAAGATGAGGGAATTTGACAGGTAATATAACAGCCTCCTTCAGTGATTCCTTTGCAACTTCCAGACCAGCAACATCGCTCCATTTAACGTTTGGACTTTCCATCACAATAGCACCTAAGAGATGGATTTAAAAATTAAATTATTTTCAACAGGAGTTGAAGTTAAAACCTTCCCTCAAAATCTACAAATAAATGTATCATGGAAGCTTTAACCCATTCCAGATTGTTGCGACTTACCCTCAAACTTTAAAATCATACAATATCATCACAAAATCATTCAATACCTTACATTTATAGTAAAAAAAAAAAATTCAGTATATATATTGTATACACCTCAAAAAATTTTACGCCAAAATCGTAATAGTAAACAGATCCCCTTAATGCATCCTTGGTGGTGGTGGGGGTGAGGGGGTTCGGGTCCGAGGCATCCCTCAAGACTTCTGGTGATGGCGTGATTTCAATAATTTAAGTTTCTATCTTGTTTCACTTTCAATCAATGTGAGCTTGACTATGATACGTCTATATCTACCAAATGTTCATTCAAAGTGCTAAAAATATATTTATTTTTTTCCCTATATTCCATATTGTTCGCTGTTATGTTATATATTTTTATAACCTAATTATTTCTGATGGTATTTATCACTTATTCCTTAATATTAATTAATATTTAGCAGCTAAAAAATATCCTCCAAATGTAAATCAATGGGAAAAGGGAGTTACTTCCCTTTTTATCGAACTATAAATTAAGTACGAAAGAAGTATCACTGTTGCCAGGAATGAGATAAGTGAAAATATCAAGATGTCTCTCAATTGTCATGAAACAGGTGTGGTGAATACCCAATATAAACCTAGCTGCTCATACAGCAATGACCATATTAAAATTTTGGACTTAAGTTTCAGAATCATATTTATCTCTTCAAAAAAAATTAGACTAAGTCAAAATGTTCTTTTTTTAAAAAAAACAAACTACAACTATGTCAAGGGAGAGGCTAATAATTTGAAATGCACTTTGGCACTAACAAATAATGGAATTCATCTGATGCACAATGGCAGTTGAATGGATGAATGATACACAATAAGTTTAATTGTGTTAAATAATCTCATACCTGTTAACTGAGTTTCAAATTTTTTCTTGTCCGGATCTTTTTCATCATCATCATCATCACTTGATTTCTCACTGCACACAAGATAATATTTTAAAACTGAGTTGTTCATAAGGAAGACAAAATTGATTTGCTGAAAGCTTTTTTTAAGCAAATTGCTCACTAGAAAACTTTTTGAAATATACATAGAAGTCTGTGAGATAAAATTTAGTTAACAATAAGATAAGTGAATCTACAAATCTTACTCTGGTGAAGTTTTTTTTCCATTTCCTCCATCTAAGACTGGTCTTTTTTTATCTTTTTTATTTAGATACTGTTTTAGTTTCTCAGCTCTGTCTAAATATTGTACACATTTGCTTCTGATACTCTCTTTAGCTTTATCACTTGTTGCTTCATCTGAAAAGCACAAAGAATTGTTTGTTGTGAGAAAGTGGTAAAGATACTATTACTTTTGGATAATATTTTTTTAAAATATGTTCACCAGAGAAAGTGGTAAAGATACTATTACTTTTGGATAATATTTTTTTAAAATATGTTCACCAGTTTTACATGATGATACAGCTTTACGTGATAAATGAAATCTACTTTTCTATTGACAAAAATTACAAACAAAATTATTCTTACATTTGATTGCATGAAGAAAATACTCCACAGCATGTTCATAGCACTTCAGAGCTTCTTCATAATTTTTCTTTTTGTCCTCTTCGGTTGCCTTAGTGACCAGCTCAATAGCTTTCTTTGGAGATGAGGACAAAGAAGTGAATGGTGAAAATAATGTCAACAGAACAAACAAAAAATTCACACAAGTCACTGTGTACTGCTTCTCTAAATAGCTAACAATATGAATATTAACTTGTACTACAGAAGATACAATCAACGCTGGATGAAAATATATTTTAAGTGTCTCATCCCATTTACAATACAAACTCATTTAGTGGTTGGTAAGTTCTTTAGATTTATACTTATAATATGTGTTTCACAAGGACTATATTATTTGGCTTAAAAAGTGTTTATTTTAGTCAGATAATTCTCATAAGACTATACAGATTCATGAGACACTCTGATAAGGAGGTGAAGTCTTTAGTTAAAAGTTACTCCTATTCTTAGTGCCACTAGTTCCAGTATTTCCTTTCGTTCTTGGGATTTCTTTATCTTTCTAGGTCATCTTTAATGGAATTCTTTTAGTTTAAGTTATATTGTAATAAAAGTTAAAAATAAAACTAATTAAATAATTTAGTTATCGCCGTTTTATTTCTTTAATTAAATTTTTGTATGCAAGGGGTAATAATATCAATACAAGTGCAAGGAATGTACCAACAGAATTTTACAAAAAAAAGTATAAGGGCATAAAGTATTTATCTCGCTCTAATCAATTGAATGCAGTCGATAAAATATATTTTATGTCGTTCCAAAATCGATATTGCTATTTGTATGACCCAATTGTTGAAGATGGCATTGCCAGGTATATAAATGTGTCTTTTACTATTTCTATACTATATAAGCATCTAATCAATGTCTTTTTAATTTAAAGTTACAATTACAGTTCTAACAATTAAAATTGAAATTTGATTTATATCAAAACTTAGGCATATTTTTTTACTTACACTTGTTTTAGGTAACAATGCTGTGCTGATAATTTTCATATTGATGGACACGATAATTAAATACTAAAATACTGCTACTACAATTTAAAAAATGATTTTTTTGTAAGCCACAAACTCATCTGATTTACACCACTCATCCAGCTGTTATATAATTTGCAATACCAGTACAGTACCTAGGCTTTAATTTTCATCCAGCTCTAAAATTACCATTTGAATTTGTTCTTACAGTGGTTAAACTATTCACTAATAAACAAAAAGCACAACTTTACCACTATATATAAATTATTGGTAACACACACACAATATGTGAACAGCCAAAAGTAAGATCACAACTAAGTGACTCAATTCTATAAATAAAAAGTGTGACTTAAGTACTTTTCCATAGCTTATTCTAAAACCAAAGCCCAACAGAGATTGTGGAATTCCAATCTCTATCATTTTTCTTTCTTTTTTTCCACCTAAGAACTTTAAAATTTATAAATTTTATAATATAAAATATTCTTGTATTAAACATGAATATGAATGAATGATGTAGTACTTAGACGTCTTACTTAGTCTTAGACTAGACTTGTGTGTGTGTAAATTAATTATTTATTTATTGTAAACAACAACCACAATACTGTCAACTGTCAATACTATTGAGATTTTTTGATAGATTATTCTTCTCTCTCTGATCATTTTCACTGTGAGATTTGTAGTTTGGGGTAGTAAATTTCAGTTTAAAGAAGTAGAAAAGAGTTTCAAACATATCCTCAGATCATTCTGACTCACGATCATGACTTAAGTACCGACATTTTATTTTTAACTTTTATGTTATGAATAGAGAACTTCCTGCTGCAAAAACTACTTTAAATTAAGAGATATGAGTCAAACTTTTTAAAAATCTATTATTAACATATTGAAACTAAACATTGTACCTGTAATGTGCCTTGACTGGACATTGGGAAGCTCGATTTAGAGCTTATTTATAGATCCGACAACAGAAAATCATACACTTCTCACAAACATAACAATGGCGAACGACAACTTCCACTTCCTAATCACGTGACTTTATTATTATTAAATGAACAAATATTGGATTAGATAGAAACGAAAAACAATTTCTGATTTTAAAAGAATTTTTTCGAATTTTAAATAGAAAGATAAAGATATGTATCCTTGAAAAAAATAAGCAGATAAAACCAGGATATATTGAAATATTGCCTCGACGACCTGCTAAAGGAAAATGTAGATCTAAGCTTTTAACAAAGATATCAGTCATTGCTGGAATAAATTATAAAATGATAAGGGGTCATCCATAAATAACGTCACGCAAATTTTGCCGCTCCCCTTCCTCCCCTAATTGTCACAAAAAAGTTAGCAACCCCCCCCCCCCTCAAACATAAGGTCACAAATCTCTGCAACCCCACCCCCTATAAAAAAAAATCCCTGTGCCCACTAATGTCCTTTACAGACCCTTAAGAAATTCAACTCTCATGGAGATCAAATTACTTCACCTGTATCAGTAACATTTCTCTAGAACAGTGGTTCTTAACCAGGGGTAAAAGTACCTCCCCAGCCCTGAGGTGTGGAAGACCAGAAAATTGTATTTGCTCCCATTACTAGTTGTTGCTGATTATTTCAAGATAAGTTTTTATGCATCTTGATTAGCAGCAATAAATAATGTTTTGTTGTTTGTTGTTTTTTTTTTGTTCTTTTTTGTGTGTAAAATTCTGTTGGCGCATTCCTTGCACGTGTATTGATATTATTACCCCTTGCATACAAACTTTTAATTAAAGAAATAAAACGGCGATAACTAAATTATTTAATTAGTTTTATATTTTAAATTTTATTACAATTTAACTTATACGTTTGGGGGCAGGGGTGTTTAAAACGGAGTGGGCTTGCAGCGCTGCAAAGGGGTTAAGAATCCCTGCCCTAGTGCATTTACTAAGATCACCCCCCCCCCCCAGACTCAAAAACTTTTTTTCGTTCCATCCCACTTCACGTGGTAGTCCTACTTCTACGAACACCACCTCCACATTTAGCCATAAATTCTCACAACTGTCCTTGTGACTTTACCCCGATTCTCCTCCTCTGTGGCGTCCTGTAACTTGATCAGAGGCCATTTCTCGGACCTCGCATCCCTGTACTGATTCTCTCAGTGATCGTAGTTTAAAAATAAAATAACTATAATTGTTGTATCAAAGAATAAATATTAAAAATGTTTGCAATTCAGAGTCATTAAGTGCAATTCTTTACCGCAATATTCCGTTTTTTCGCGTGACGCCACATTGCTTACCCCCCCCCCCCCGGGGTGAGAAAAAATAAGACA